CGTGTCCAACCCTTCAATGTAGCACTCAAAGTCTGCGTAGATGACGAACGGAACGGTCTGTATCCTTTCATAATTTTCGAACTTTGTAATACTACCAGGTTTCGGGTATTCATACCTTTGATAGTCGCTGCCTGAACATAATTCCAGATGGTTCTGTAGCAGCTCATCCGAACCGAATGCGTTGAGACAACGGTCGCAGATGTACTTCCTGTGCTCGTGATCATTAATCTGTGCACCTACGAGTCTGGACATATCCTTGACAACTCTGTAGTGGTTTTTCCATAGGAATAACCTTGTGAGGTGGAATTCCATTCCCAATCCGGTTAATCTTAAAGGGCATACCTTTAGGCTCTCGTCGGCACTGAATATGTTAACTCCAATACTGTTGTTCTTTTCAGACTTTTTGATATTGTTTAGAGGTGTTGGGAATTCTATTCCCTCCCAGTCTAGTTCCTCACCCTGTTTTCTCAGAATCCCTGTAATTCCCCAGGGTTTTTCTCGACCGGGTTTAGCGCGCGGGTCACAGACCACTTAAAACACTCATCGTCATTGTTCTTCATGTTGATGACTGCTTTCTTCTTTTCGATCACTTAGGTAGAAGTTCATATCCTTTTCCCCTAAGTGGTCAAAATTCTCCGATATGGATCTCAAGTATATCCACCCTCCGGAGCCTCCACCCACTACCACGCTTCTGGTACTCTGAAAAGGATTTCAGAATCTTCTCCCTCATGGTTGTAAGGATCCCTTCCCTGTCGTCCGTGCCGATGAGTTTGTGGGTTTTTGACCTGAAGTGGGTGACGATTGATACTTCCTCCCCAGTTTTCGGATCATTTCTTACCATTTCACATTTTAGGGACATGCTCACGTTTCTCGGTTCCGTTTCGGAATTTATGAGCGCCTCAACCTCGTCCTTTGTGATATTCAGGAAGTGGACTGGGTCGTACGCACCCTTGAGATTGATTACATACTTCTTTACCTTTTTTTAATACCGTGTTTGGTTAGGATGGGTGTTTTAGGTCCTCTTCCGGATTGACGTCGTACCACTGTTCGTCCTCATCGCTAAAGTTCTCCCTTGCGTCGTGCCATTGGTCTTCTTCTTCCTCTTTACCACTGTATAGTTCTGCAACCTTTTTCCTCATTGTGTTAAATGTGCTGGACACACCTTTCCTGATGAATGACGGTACGTAGGTGGTTAGCCAGTTGTACCACTCCCTTAGGGTTCCGGAGATGCTGGACTTGGACTTGAAGCTAGCCTCTGTTGTTTCCATTCTTTTATTATATGGAAAAAAAGTAATTTTTTACCTGTGGTATGACCCAGAAGTCAATTCTATTTTCCAGACCCATAAGGTTTGGAATAACAATGGAAACAGGCTAACTCCACTCCAGGTCTGAAAGAGGGAGCAGGAAGAGGACTGAAGGAGCGTACCTTTTTATTATATAGGGAAAAAAAATTCAGAAACGCTGACTCAGCTTTTTTCAAGCGGAAGTGGCGTCATAGGTCACGTGATCCAAATCTGCGCAGTGGAAGGCTTTGGGGAGACTTGGACAATACTTCGGTAAGACTTCGGTAAGACTTCTCAAGGCGTGGGGGTTTGCGGGGTTTGCGCGTGCGTTGTGGAGGTGTGGTGACGTCATAGGTCACGTGATTTTATAAACCGGAAGTGACGTCATCAGATGTGACGTCATCTGGTGCGCAGTGGTGGTTAATTAGTCTTGTTAATTATCCCTCATTATCCCTAAATATGCTAGTGGACCAAAATTATCCCTTATTATCCCTAATATCTTAGTGTGCTAGAAATTGTGCTAGAACCGCTGTTTTTGTACTACTGGTTTGCTGTAGTACTTCGACACTCGCTAGGATATCTTGCTCGATTTCTTGCACTTCCATCACCACAATCTTCGCTTTGTAAAGCACATTCTTCATAAACAAAAGACTGACATAAAATTCGAATGACTTTAAATTGTCTAATAAATTTGTGGCAGTCTTTTTGACATCAAGATCTGTTTCATCACACTCATGTATATCGTGAAGTATGCCAATCACCGTTTCATAACTGACCGATACAGTTTTGATCGACTCAGCTTTTCCAATCCATCGAGACTGCGAAAGATTCTACATGATGAGCCCTTCCTGTAAACTTTCGATTTTGCTCTTTAATTTTTCGAATCTACTTGTGCTTTTTGTTAGGAAGTTATAAAGCTCTTGCAATGTGGTAAAAAACTCCTCGATTATAACGGATGATTTACAGGAATGATCGACGCAAAGATTTGTTTCATGACCAAGACAAGTAATGTAGCGTATTTTTCTCTCCAAATGCTCACTTAACTTCGCTTATGCCCCATTGTAAACCCCGGACATCGAAGCTGTTGTATCATAGCACTGAAAACGAATACCAGCATTGGGAATACGCAATTCCGTTACCATTGCTAGAACCGTTTGAGAAAATCCATCACCGGTTTTAGAAGAGATCTCTGATATTTTGAGAAGCCGTTCTTGGATGCGAAACTCTGCGTCCACATAGCGTATAATTAAAGATATTTGATCGGCATGAGCAACATCGGGTGTTGTGTCAGCAAGTACAGCGTAAACAGCCGAAGAACGTATTTGTTCTGTTAAAATGTTGCACACTCCAACTGCTAAAAGGTTGATCAATTCATTCTGTGATTTACCACTCAAGTAAGTGACACGGTTAGGACGTAAATGGGTTGTGTTCAACCAGGTTTTTAGAAAAGGAATCCAGCGTGAAAATAGGTTTACTAATTGTCTAAATTTTCCATTTAGATCATCATCACCCCCACGAAAAGCAAGGGCTTGTCTTGACAAGTATCTACGACAATCTAGAATAACTTTAATGACTTCTCTATTGTGCAGACGTTCCCGCTCTTCTTGGGCAAGTAATTTCTTTCTCAACATCGACGTGGTGACTTCTTTTTGAAAAAATATCAAACCGATCAACCGATGCTTTATGAGATGCTCTAGTGAAGTGCTGTACCAGTTTTCCTTGCTTGCTTTTCCCCCGGCCTTTCATCTTATCCCAGCGGTTTGCTCCATCTTTTGTCCATGAACAAAATGTCCCAGGACCATCCCCGAACAGGCTGCAGGCAAAACAAAAAGCTCGATCCACAGTTGGACTGTATTCCAAAAAAGACAGTTGGACTGTATTCCAAAAAAGACATTCGTACCATTTTGATGTAAATGAATTTTGTTAGCGATTGTTTGGTTCGTTGGATAACTTTGAAGAATCGGCTGAGAAGGTCCCAAGGCTATTAGAAAATTATTTTGTAATTCATTCAGCTTTACCCCAATACGTTCTGCTGGATCGTTTGTCACGATAGAAGACTCCCAGCGGGCAAAATGACGTTTATCCAACGTTGAATCAACGTTGAAAATGACCTTGCAGACGTTGGATAGACGTTGAAAAAGGGTTGACTTGCAAATTGGATCGACGTTACTGTTTCGACGTTGAAACAACGTTGAAATTAGGTTGCCAATCTCGTTAACCATAATTCAACGTTGAATCCACGTTAAAACAACGTTGAGATTGGTTCACAAATCGACGTCGTACATTTAACCATGAATGAACGTTAATTCAACATATGTTGGCTGCTGTTGAACCAATGTTTGTAAAACAACGTCAGAGCAACGTAGATATTAGGTTGTCGACGTCACAACCTTTTTTCTACCAAATTTCAACGTTGAAACAACGTCGTGTGCCCGGTGGGCTGCTCTTCAACTGATTTTTCAGACGTTTGCTTCAGAACGTTTTCTTCACAAGTTAAAGCTTCTTTTGATGATGACAATAACAAGTGACATTTAGTCCACAAGGTTCTAACTTAGGCCCCTTAGTTGCTGTTTCTTCTATATATAAATGACCTTCCGAACTGTCTATCATTATCCTCGGCAAATATGTTTGCTGATGACACAAATATTTATACTCAAGGTAAAACTGACACTGAAATATAAGTAGGCCTATGCTTAAATACCGACTTAGAAAATGTGCACCGATGGCTAACTTCGAATAAACTCATTCACGATTGTTGGCTCACGACAACGCATTTCAAACATTTTAACAGATCCTATAGTCAAACTTGGTGACTCAACAATAAAGCGAGTCAACGAATCTAAAACTTTTGAGGTCATTGTTGATGAGCACCTCTCGTGGAACGACCAAATACAAAGTATTGTTTCAAAATCTTAAAAAGGTATAGGAATGATTCGGAGAATAACGAAATTTGTTCCCCAATCGACTTTGTTAAAAATATACAGTACAATGCTATTGTGCTGTCACATTTTGATTATTTGTAGGCTTGTTTGGGATCATTGTTCTGATCTGCTAAAAACAAACGGACTGCGAGAGTAATTACGGGCGGAACATATGAAACCAAAACTAAAGATGTTTTAAAAGAGCTGAACTGGCAGCCCTTAAATGAACGACTACGTACTGAGAGAGAAAAAAAATTTATGCACAAAATAAAAAATAACGTCATTCCACAATCAGTAATAGAAATGTTTAAAATCAAAGAGAACCAAGTGTATCAATTGCGTAGTAACAATATAAACTTCTCCCTTGGAAAGCTATAGTAACAAATTTTATGAAAAAGAGTATTAGTTACTTGGCTGCGTCCTTCTGGAACTGCAGCTTACCAAGTTTAGCTAAGGAACAAAACAGCCTTAGTTAAATCTATTCTTGATCGTAGCTGATGTATTCTTGTAATTATTAGTAATTAGTAATCTATATATAATTAGTAATATAGGTAGTGTAATAGTTGTAAATTAATTTATATTTGTATTGTTAATTTAAGTAGTTTGCAAATGGCTCCTTGAAAAGCAGTTCCCTATGTGCCCTGAAGGACTACCGTTTTTAAATATTTTTAAATAATAATAATAATAATAATAATAATCGAGGTTTTGATTACTATTCGAGGTTTCGTGATATGGAAATAAGTTAACCGCTTGAAATTACTTTTAATTACATTCTTTAGAATGGTCATGAATAGAATTTTAAAGTTTTTCATTGACTGTTGACTGTCGAGGAGTGAACATGGCTTCATTGACTGTTGACTGTCGAGGAGTGAACATCTCGCTGACTAAACCAACATGGAAGCTTTCGAATTAACGACAAGAGTATGACTGAGAGCATGTTATTGCTGTATTGTTGCGATCATCATTATGACATGTGTTTTACTACATCAAGTTTAAATTGCATGGGACTGCTGTCATTTTAGCTTTATAAATAATCTATCTGAGAAAAGGAAATGTGTTTATGTTCCCAAAAGCGAGGCTCTTCTTTCTAAGTTGGATGGCGTTAAATTTCCGTGTATCATCAACGTGAAAACAAGCGTAGTATCTGGAGCGGCGCTAACCCTCTTCGAGGTGTGAGTGGATCTTTGCCGACTGTTGTTTCGGGTAATTTCAGAGTCGGTAGTCTATACAATTTGATTTTGAGGGGGTTGGAAGATTCAGACTGTGCAAAAAAAAATTTCCGCCCAGGGGAACAAGACAGATACTTTTTTCCTCTAAAAGTGCAGCGCAAGATATTTCCCCCCAATATATTTCGCGGCAGAATATTTTTTTGCGCTTTCATATAGCTATCTTCAGAGTCGTAGCAAGGGTTTTCAGTCAGAGGAGGCCGAGAACAGAATTCCAAGAGGGGCCAAGGAATTTTCACTGTCGGCTTTATTTTATATGGTTATGTCTTAATATCCCCACACTAAAGCGTGCAGGTTTACTTACAAAAAATGTATAACTGCACCAAAACCTAAAACATGTAGGATTGAGTAGAGTACTCGAAAATGAGGGCGGTATAGTATATGAATGACCTGTAACCTTGGGGGGGGGGGGTTCGGGGGCATGCTCCCCGAGAAAATTGAAAATTTCAACCTCGGAATTGCTATTTCCTGCGTTCTCAGCCATGGATTCGTCCAACAACGTTCACGCTGTACTAAGCCTAAGGAACACTTACTGTCCTTTATTTTAAACAAGGGAAAATCACAAAATGAGATTTGATTAATATGTAATAAAACAAGATTTCAATAATGCGATTTTTAACTGCCCTCCGAAACAACAATGTTCCACCAAATATAGCCTGCGCGGCAGGCGGTATTTCTATAGACAGCGAAAATTAGGGAGGCAAAGGAAATGCCGTCTGCCGCAAAACTAGGGGTTTTTGAATTACCCGTCCGCTGGTGAACGGGAAAAACGGATTGGTTAATATATTTATGTAGTTGTCAATCAACGGCTAAATTCGGTTAGGTGTTTTAAAATCATTAACCAAATGTTTTGTCGTTTTGAAATTTAATAGTTCACGTCAAGTCAGACCAGAAATGGAATAACATAATAAAAGAAGCAAATTAAAAGATACTAGAAGTTACTAACGCAAGGAAATGCTGCCTCACGGCCAAAACTTTGAGTTAGGTTGTTCAAAATCTGTTTATAATCCGTGGATAATACAAAGCTAAATAACACTATAATGGAAACATAACACTACAATTATAGTTTTTAAACAATAAAAATCGTATTTTATTGTATTGTAAGAATCGCGTGCATATATGTTACAACAATATTCTAATTATCTAAAATTAAGAAAACAGTTCTCTGTAATGAAACAGGTCATTTTCTCACTCCAAACGATAGTATCTCATAAAAATTAACAAATTATGGGTCATTCCACGGCTTATTTCTCTGACAATATATCTATAATGTGACCCGCAGGGCTACCTCCACACATTTAGCTATTATGCGATTGTCACTAAGGTTAATGTCACTAATATTCTTAGACACAAAGTCAAGCGTGGTCACCTCTAGAATAATAACCTGGAATGACTAACAGTTAATAACACTATTAATAATGGATAAATATAATGCACAAAAACCAAGGACTGTTTATACTATTAACAATGGAAATATAACATTATTATGTATACCATAACATTACTATATATTATACGTCTATACCATAACACTATTAATAATGGAAGCGCATAACACTATTATATATCCTGTCTGTCTGTATAATGTTTTTTTTACAAAAAACTGTTAAAAGCTACATATCTTGTAAGCAAGTGAACTTTATTAATGATCTTATGACACTATACAAGGCTATA